TACAGGGAGAAGGTAGGAGAATGAGGTTGAGAAACATATCAGCCATCTTCAAATGGTGGAGCAGACACAATGGGCTAAATGGCCTAAATATCCTCCTATACCTTATGGCCTTATGGATATCTGACAGCAACATCTTAGTGTGACTCCACAGCAACGCTCACACACACCCTATGCCCATAGACACAGGCATCCAATGCATGCCAGCCTCTCTCCACTGTAATGGCACATCCACTTACATTGCTGTACTTTAATGCTACACTTTGGAGTGCACTGGCACCTCTCATTAGAATGCTGCTGCAAGGAGATATTGCATGCAGGACATTCATCCAACTCAATGATTAAAACATGTGCATCTCATGGTTTCCTGCCTGTTTTCTTCATGCTCAGTAACATAATGCTAATCTCGTTTTTTTTTATTTATTCACTGAAGGGACATGTGCATTGCTGGCTGGCCAGTATTTTTTGCCCATCCCTAGTTGCCCTTGAGAAGGTGGTGGCGACCTGCCTTCTTGAACCACTGAAAGCCATCGACTGTGTGTTGACCCACATTGCCATTGAGGAGGGACCCAGTAACAGTGAAGGAACGGCGATATATTTTTAAGTCAGGTGGTGAGTGGCTTGGAGGAGAACCTTCAGGTGGTGATGTTCCCACGTATCTGCTCCTCTTGTACTTCTAGATGGAAGTGATCATGGGTTTGGAAGGTACTGACTAAGAATCTTTGGTGAGTTTCTGCAGCATATCTTGTAGATAGTACACAATGCTGCTTCTGTGCATCGATGGTGGAGGGAGTGGCTGTTTGTGGATATGGCACCAAACAAGTGGGTTGTTTTGTTCTGGATGGTGTCAAGCTTCTTGAACGTTGTTGGAGCTGCATCCATTCAGGCAAGTGGGGAGTTTTCCATTGTAATGCTGACTTATGCCTTGTAGATGATTGACAGGCTTTGGGGAGTGAGGAGGCCAGTTACGCACTGCAGTATTCCTAGCCTCTGACCTGCTCTTGTAGCCACTCTGTTTAAGCCTTGACTCCAGTTGAGTTTCTCGTTCATGGTAACCCTCAGGAGGACTCCCATTAGGAGGATTCAGTGATGATAACACCATTGAATGTCAACGGGCGGTGGTTAGATTATCTCTTGCTAGAGATGGTCATTGCTTGGCTTTTGTGTGATGCAGATGTTACTTGCCACTTGTCAGCCCAAGTCTGTTTGTTGTCCACTCCTTGTTGTATTTGAACATGGAGCGCTTCAGTATCTAAGGAGTTGCAAATGGTGCTGAACATTATGTAATCATTAGCAAACATTCCAACTTCTGACCTTATAATGGAGCAAAAGTCATAGATGAATCAGCTGAATATAGTCGAGAACACTACCCTGAGAAACTCCTGCAGAAATCCCAGAGCTGAGATAACTGACCTCCGACAACCAGAACCATCTTCCTATGTGTCAGGTATGACTCCAACCATTGCAGAGTTTGCAACCCGAAGCCCATTGATTCCAGTTTTGCTAGGGCTCCTTGATGTCACATTCAGTCAAATTCAGCCTTGATGTCAAGGGCTGTTACTCCCACCTCTCCTCACTGTACGGTAATTGGTTGGATTGGATTTGTCCTGTTTATTGCGGATATGACATACCTGGGTAAATTTCTGCATTGCCAGCTGATATCAGAGCCCGAGCTGTACTGGGACAGTTTGCTTCAAGACACGACTATTTCTGGAACGCTCATCTTCAGAACTACAGTTGGGATGTTGTCAGTGCCTACAACCTTTGATGAAGACTGAACTATGAAATTTGAATATATAATGCAAACATCAGAAGAAGTCCACATAAGTACATGTATGATGCGCAAAGATTGCAGAGCCTTAATTGAGGTATACCTATAACATGCTACTTCTGCTATTTAGCATAAAAGTAGCCCTGAACTGTAACTTCACCAGGCCGATTCTTTATTTTCACAAATACAAGTTCTACTACATTCTTCATTAAACTAGGTTTAGTCCCCACTATTGATAAAGGTGGTACAGTGAGTTACATACTGATCCATTAAGATGCAGATTATGGTGGAATATAATGCTAATGCTGCTAATAGCGCACACCTCATGGCTGCAGAATTTGGAGACGCTAGACCCAGTTTGGGCCTATCTCATTTGGGTAGTCAGGGGCAGATCCCTCTTCTTGTGTGAGGTGAGGAGCAAGATGACAGATACCCCACCACTCATCCTGGCTTCTAGGGCCATTTGCTGCTGGCATGATAAAAGGGGAAGGATTGAGTAAAATGAAAATGGATGGCACAGGGATGTTTATGGTGCTGACATGTTGTGACTGAGTAGGAGAGACAGAGGTTTTGCAGGTTGGTAGTGTAGGGAGATTGGGTAGTTGACGGCAAGTGGGGGAAGATTTTGCACACACCAGTAATTGTAGTAGGGCATAGCCTTGGTGATAGGTGGATGTGTGGCAGAGATAAGATGAGAGAGAGTTATTGGTCAGAAGTTATTGGCATTTATCTTAGCAGAGCAGAGAAGGTCATTGACCTACTTATAATATTGCTGGGCATTCCTCCAGACTCTGAGACCCCACTGACCTGGTTGATGGCCACAAATCAGGCTGGCAGGGTCTGATGTCATGGCTACCACAGCTGACCTTGGGGGTTGTGGAGGGTTCCCCTCTGCACCATTCTTTTCAGCAGGACATCAAGATCCCTGTCCATTAAGTGAAGTGCCAATTTCCCCTTCTAGGCCCAGTTTGGAGAAACTGTTACGAAGCGTGCAAGGCTATTCCAGATTGCTAGCATTTGCCCAAGTGAGCAATGTCTTTTAAAGGTAGCATATTAATTCCAAAGATAATGCTGGATTCGGACACATCCAGTGAATGATGACCTCTTTCAGCTACCACATGTGGTAGAATCAGGCTAGTATCGAACAAGAGGGGTGCCATAGGGTGAAGTCGGCAATAAACCAGGTGAGTTTAGGACAATAACATAAGAAAACCCACAAGTCCTCACAGAGAGAAACAGTCCATGAAACTCAACAAAAATAACACAGCCAAAATATTGTAAGGTTCAGTCCATAGTTTATTCCATATTTCACTTTGTTCATGTAAATTAAATGCATAACTTGTAAGCATACATTCAGTCAGGAAATATGTTCAAGGTTAGGAACTGCAAAATCAAAGCTAATATAAACAATTCTCAAATGCAACAACTTTCCAAAACAATTGTTCTTTAAGGAAGTGGATATGTATCATTGTATATTTTATGTCATTTAGTGTGGACTCGCCATAGTGAGAGAGCTCAAACTGCGAGCTTGTTTGGATCCAAGTTGGGAAAGTAGATTGGAATGGGAGGAGGGTCAGAATGGTGTGTGGAAATTCTGCTTCAACAGTAGAGTAGGGGCAAAAGAAATCCAGCTCGGAGTTTCTCTCATGGGTTTGGATCAAACCCATGGCACAGGGATGTTTATGGTGCTGACATGTTGTGACTGAGTAGGAGAGACAGAGGTTTTGCAGGGTTGGTAGTGTAGGGAGATTGGGTAGTTGACGGCAAGTGAGGGAAGATTTTGCACACACCAGTGTGCATTATTATATAGCATTATTGCAAGTAGTATGTACAAGTAAAAATCCCACAGTTCGACCAGATCAGACGGCTGCTCTCTCATGGCTGAGAAACAACTAATGTTTAATTTGAGGGATATCACATCTCATGTGAGGGAAAAGTTTGAGAAGGAGGGTTTTTCATGGTAACCTCAGCAGATGCAGGAATTGAACCCATGCTGCTGTTAGGATCATTTTACATCACAAGCCAGCCATCCAGCCAACTAAGCTAATATACACAGATTCATTAGTTTATCCAATGCACAATCAATTAGTCAAGAAAAGAACAAATGTAGAAGGTTAACAAACTCCTACCATTTTATATCTTGATCCAAACCCATGAGAGAAACTCCGAGCTGGATTTCTTTTGCCCCTACTCTTCTGTTGAAGCAGAATTTCCACACACCATTCTGACCCTCCTCCCATTCCAATCTACTTTCCCAACTTGGATCCAAACAAGCTCGCAGTTTGAGCCCTCTCACTATGGCAAGTCCACACTAAATGAAAAAGGAAATATTGGTGAAAAGTTTGTTGAAACATTAAAGGTGGCAAAGGAGGCCTGAGTAACCAAGAATAATTTAGAGATCTAAGGGTTTTAAATGCACTGATGTTCAGAAAGATAATAGCTAAGACAAAAGCAAAAGAAGAGGTGCTTATTGTATTATACCCTGTCCCTTCAAAAGGGGCATGTTCAGATCTTCTGCCACTGTGGATAGTAAAAGTACCTTTCTCTTCACCGTTCCTCGGGTTAGCAACACTTGAGTAAAGTGAGGGAAATGAGTTGGCTTATGAGGACTAACTCCTCCACTGTAATTTACATAAAATGAGCAAGAAAGGATGAATTTTGACTATCAAATCTGTGTCTGGAGGAAAGAATTTGTGGTCAGGTCAAGAAGATGGTGGTTGTCCTCACTGTTAAATTGCCCTTGTTTCCACCCATCACCCCAAGATAATTTAGCCAAGTTTCAATGCTGAAGATTCCTTGAACAAAAAAAAATTGTTTGAATGTTAACTTATATAGCCATTTTGTGAAATCTCTGCATTTTTGTACCTTTCCCAATATTAACCAGTTATGTAAAAATATTTACAGCAATTAGGTGATAGCATTCAAATAAAATAAGGATTGAAAACTTAATGCCTGACTACATTAACAGCATAACATACTTCAATTTTTTTAACCCATTTTTCTAATCAACCTATTCAGAGATGTCATTACCCACCTCTGAAGCAGGTGGGACTTGAACCTGGGCCTCCTGTACAAAGCTGGGGACTCTACCAAGGGACTACAAGACAGCCCCTAAAACCATACTGAAATTCTCCTTCTCAGTCATGAGTCATAGAGTCACACAGCATGGAAGTAGACCCTTCAGCCCAACCAATCCATGCCGAGCATAATCCCAAACTAAACTAGTCCCACCTGCCTGAGCTTGGCCCATATCCCTCCAAACATTTCTTATTCATGTATTTATCTAAATGTCTTTTAAACATTGTCACTGTACCCACATCCACCACTTGCTCTGAAAATTCATTCCATGTACAAATGGAAGATTTAAACTTATGAGGTGTTTGTTATTTACATAAGAACTAAATGCACAGTATTTCGAAGCCATGTTGAAATATTACAACTAATATTTTGGGAGTTTTCATTGCGATTCTCATTATTGAATTACCATAGCTTCAGCAGAAAATCCCTCAAATATGCTTTATTTGTAGATGGACTGGAGTTTCCTTGGATTTTCCTCCATAATTGGGGAGAAATCGATATTTTAGCTATTCAACTTAAGCATAGTATGTAAGACAAGCTATCAGTTTATTGCTGAAAAGAGGTACAAGTTGTACATCAATATGTCTCTTTTCAGCAATATTCAGGTTAACTGTGGTCAAGTGGTTTGTTTTGACTTATATAGAAATCAGCAGGCAATTAAAATTAGGATTAACTTTCATTATTTTGACATGCAACACCGATGTCTAGACTTCTTTGTAACACAAAGCTATCTTGCCAACATCATTGATTTGTTAAAAAGTAATACAGATAATATATGAACACTTCCCTTAGTGTTCATAGTTTATTTCTGTTGTCACTGAACTTACAGTGGGTACTTTTCCTGACAGATTCTTGCTAGTGCTGTAAAGCGTGGATCCAAGTTGTTCAAGTAGTCGGAGCCAATGCTACCTTCAACTATGCTGATGGCATCAAGAGATGGCGCATGCAGCTCATCTCCTTCATAGCTATATACACGAGGTTCAAAAGTAGGATCAATATAATTTATATCTGGTGCCTAAAAAAAAGTTAAACAATAATGAACATACATATGATATAAGTAATAGATTTATCTGATTTTCTACTAAAAGAATGGCCATACATCAGTTTCTATTAATTGATTTTTGAAAATTAAAATCAAAAAATGCCATTTTGTTTCACTTTTTGGAAATTAATTCCCTCATAAACATCTTATAATTAATATTTTTATAACCAGAGTGAGGGTGACCTCAACTGACAATGAGGGTTTTCTCAGTTTTTAGGTAGAAATCTGTGGGTCAATGAACACTAAACGTTGCTGGTGCTGTGCTGTAAATGTCAAAAGACAGTGCAAATCCTTTGTAATGAAGGCTTCATATTGCATGGTTTTCATTGATGGCTGGAGTTTTGAACGATTATGGAAAATTGATTTATTTCAAGTTCCTTGGATCTCTGAATTGGCTTTTAAAAGGTCACTTTGGGCATTAGCGTTCTTTTGTTAACAAGACATGTTTCAGAAAACACGTTATTTCAACTAATTCAGAGATTGTAGGAACTGCCGATTCTGAAGAAGGGTCCAGACCCGAAACATCAGCTTTCCTGCTCCTGTGATGCTGCTTGGCCTGCTGTGTTCATCCAGCTCTACACCTTGTTATCTCTTATTTCAACTAATAGCTGGATTTGTTTACTGGAAGTCACACAATTTATTTTATGACTGCCAGAGAGTTCATTTCTATTTGGACAATATTTTGCATGCAATTGAAGATTGTTTAATTGTAGTTAGAATAAAAGCCAGCTGTGGAAGTGGCAGTCCAGTTCATCTCTCTGATGCCAAAAGGATACAGACTAACTCAGATAAAAAACATCCTCAAAGTTCTGCTGCCATAACATCATCATAAGCATGGCACATGCTCTGATATGCTTCTAAGCATTGTTTAGGCTATACTTCTGACTAGATTCATGACAGTCAGTTGGAAGCAGTTCTGAGGAAATGCTTATATTGCTGTGAATCATGTGCATTTCTAGGTGTAATTATCTGCTTACATCGTCATTGGCAGCTTCTGTTCTATTGTCTGCATCCTTTGAAGAGTAATAATATTTGTGCTAGTTGAACACAATTAAAGAGCCTAATTCTTGTTGGTTACTCTTAAATAGTGAGGGATGTGTACAATCTGAACTTCCTCCCACTAGTTGTCTTAAAAAAAATTGCTTTGGAAACTGACAATTAATTGTAATATATTTCATTGTAATATATTCTTACCAAATAGTGCCTGTTAGCCCAAGCATTTGAGTCATGTTGTTGTGATTTGTCAATTGGCCTAAGCATGTAACTTCGAAATGGTAAAGTGCCCTGTAGTGAAAACAGAAATGAATAATATCAAATAAATTCAATTGCACAGAAAAACTGAAAGCAATCAGTTTAAACAAAGGATTGCATTTCTTTAGACTTACAAATTATAATATATCCCTAAGGGTACGTTATTTCCTCAGTAAAATGTTCTGCCATCATTTTTGCTTCCTGATCACCCTCATAACAGCAGTGATTTAACTTGGAAAATACTTAAATGTCACTTTGCGGTATCCTAAAGTCATGAAAGGTACTCCATAAATGCAAAGTTATCTTCATCATTTTTGATGTGGTTATACCCGTTTCAGTTGGCATAGTTATGAATAAACAGGGAGAAGAAGGTAGGGCTTGTATTTATTAAAGCTTTTAATGATCTCAAGATTGTTTTTCAGAGGTAATTAAGTATTTATTTTTCAGTGTAGTCACTGTTGTAACATTCAGAAATGCAGCTCATTTTGCTAAAAGTAGGTTTGTAGTTGGATCAGCATTAAGCACTGTGTGGAAGTATTATGGTACTGATGAGTTGAAGTTTGCCATTTTTTGAAGCTGCTATTGGAAACAAGTCCCTTCTAAAGAAAATTTAAATAAGGTTCAAGTGAAGTAGTTAAGGTACACTGCCATTATTGTCTCTGCTGGTGTGTTTTGCAAGCTGTGCCATTGCAAAGGCGGTTGTTTTAGTTCAGTTGGCTGGAAGGCTGGTTTGCAATGTAGAGTGATGTTAACAGCATGGATTCAATTTCCACACCAGCTGAAGTTACTGTGAAAGATTCTCCTTCCCAACCCCTCCTCTTGCATGATGCATGTGGCAGGCTAAGCCACGACCAATTCCAACCCCCCACCTCCCCCACAACCTCTCTGTCTACTGAAATAGCAGCCCTATGGTCTGGTAAGACTATGGTGACTATTTTATTGCCAGACTAACTAGCAGAATTCTGGAAGTAGCCATTTCCAATGATGATTAAAAGGCTTCCTCAATTAGAGTCAAGAAAAACTAGATGGAGCTTTAGCAATTACTGTTGGACTTTCCAATAAAATGTAATTGCTGTTGTAGATTCCGCTGATGGTTGTGTTTTGTTGTATACCTGATGTTAAGTAAACGTCGATGCGACAATAATGTAAGCTCTTGACAAGCTACCACAGCAACAGATCCCATGTTTCTAGATTTGCAAACCACCTCACTATAGCACATTAACTTTTGAGTGCAATTAGCATTGATGTTCTTATGGGGCAGCACGATGGTTAGCACTCCTGTCTCACAGCACCAGGGACCCGGGTTCAATTCCATCCTCGGGCAACTGTCTGCGTGGAGTGTGCACATTCTCCCCGTGTCTGCATGGGTTTCCTCTGGGTGCTCCGGTTTCCTTCCACAGTCCAAAGATGTGCAGTTTAGGTGGATTGGCTATGCTAAATTGCCCATAGTGTTTTCAGGGAGGTGTAGATTAGGTGGGTTACAGGGGGATAGGTCTGGGTGGGATGCTCTGAGGTTCAGCGTGGACTTGTTGGGCCAAAGGGCATGTTTCCACACTGTAGGGATTCTATGATTACTGCTGGCATCTGGCTAATTATACTATGAAGAGGCCAATGGATCAAAATCACTTGTACTGCTTTGTTTCCTATGAGTAATATCTACTCATCACTCTTCTAACTAGGATGCAAAATGGAAATTACACACATTCTTTTAACAATTAATATCTGATATTATTTATTGTTCCATTAGTAACTATCAGTTGAAGGCACACTGATACACTCAGAATAATTAACATAGAGTTTACTATCAGAGATTCAAATACTTTGAAAATGGAATAAAATTAATCTCAGTCATTCAATATTCATTCTAAGGAATACATGTTCAGGTGAACTTAATGAACAATTCACCAAACTTTGGGGGATAAAGGGCTATGAAAATGTTAAGAATGCTGAAAGTGTTATGTTCATCATCATTTTACAAATTATTTTAGGAGTTTTCATATGACTTTAGAGATTCTTACTTGATGAAAATGTGTGCCTAGTATTAATGATCCCAGCTGATTGTAATACTGGATAAGTCACATAAGAGTTAAACCTGGCTTGAGAGACAATAAAAGAGACAACAAGGTGCAGGGCTGGATGAACACAGCAGGCCAAGCAGCATCATAGGAGCAGAGAGACTGACGTTTCGGGCCTAGACCCTTCATCAGAAAAGGGGGAGGGGAAGGGGGTTCTGAAATAAATAGGGAGAGAGTGGGAGGCGGACAGAAGAGGGATAGAGGAGAGGAAACAAACAGGTTGAAGAGGCGGGGATGGAGCTAGTAAAGGTGAGTGGAGGTAGGGAGTTAGGAAGGGGATAGGTCAGTCCAGGGAGGACGGACAGGTCAAGGGGGCGGGATGAGGTTGGTCGGTAGGAGATGGAGGTGCAGCTTGAGGTGGGAGGAGGGGATAGGTGGGAGGCAGGGACGAGCTGGACTGGTTTTGGGATGTGGTAGGGGGAGGGGAGATTTTGAAACTTGTGAAATCCACATTGATACCATTGGGCTGCAGGGTTCCCAAGCGGAATAGGAGTTGCTGTTCCTGCAACCTTCGGGTGGCATCGTTGTGGCACTGCAGGAGGCCCAGGATGGACACATCATCTGAGGAATGGGAGGGGGAGTTGAAATGGTTCACGACTGGGAGGTGCAGTTGTTTATTGCAAACCGAGCATAGGTGTTCTACAAAGCGGTCCCCGAGCCTCCGCTTGGTTTCCCCGATGTAGAGGAAGCCACACCGGGTATGGCGGATTGGCTCTGCCACATTGTGGGGTGGTTCGCCGGCACATCGGCGAATGTGGAAAGTCTTCTTGGGGCCTGGGATGGGGGTTGAGGGAGGAGGTATGGGGGCAGGTGTAGCACTTCCTGCGGTTGCAGGGAAAAGTGCCAGGTGGGGTGGAGCTGGAGGGGAGTGTGGAGCGGACAAGGGAGTCACGGAGAGAGTTGTCCCTCTGGAAAGCAGATAAGGGTGGGGAGGGAAAGATGTCTTTGGTGGTGGGGTCGGATTGCAGATGGCAGAAGTGTCGGAGGATGATGCGTTGGATCCAGAGGTTGGTGGGGTGGTACGTGAGGACGAGGGGGATTCTTTTTTGGTTCTTATTGCGTGGATGGGGTGTGAGGGATGAGGTGCGGGAGATGTGGGAGACACGGTTGAGGGCGTTCTCGACCACCGAGGGGGGGAAACGTTACGGTCCTTGAAAAACGAGGACAACTGAGATGTACGGGAGTGGAATGCCTCATGCTGGGAGCGGATGCGGTGGAGGCGAAGGAATTGGGAATAGGGGATAGCATTTTTGCAGGAAAGTGGGTGGGAGGAGGAGTATTCTAGGTAGCTGTGGGAGTTGGTGGGCTTGAAATGAATATCGGTTTCTAGGTGGTTGCCCGACATGGAGACAGAGAGGTCCAGGAAGGGGAGAGAGGTGTTAGAGATGGTGTTGGTGAAGTGGATGAACTGTTCGAGCTCCTCGTGGGAGCACGAGGCGGCACCGATACAGTCATCAATGTAACGGAGGAAGAGGTGGGGTTTAGGGCCGGTGTAGGTACGGAAGAGGGATTGTTCCACGTAACCTACAAAGAGGCAGGCATAGCTTGGGCCCATGCGGGTACCCATGGCTACCCCCTTTGTCTGTAGGAAGTGGGAGGAATTGAAAGAGAAGTTGTTGAGTGCGAGGACGAATTCGGCTAAGCGGATGAGGGTATCAGTGGAGGGGGACTGGTCGGGCCTGCAGGACAGGAAGAAGCGGAGGGCCTCAAGGCCATCTGCATGGGGAATGCAGGTGTAGAGGGACTGGACGTCCATGGTAAAGATGAGGTGTTGGGGACCGGGGAATTGGATGTTCTGGAGGAAGTGGAGGGAGTGGGTGGTGTCACGGACATAGGTAGGGAGTTCCTGGACCAAGGGGGAGAAAATGGAGTCTAGATAGTTGGAGATGTTCATCTGCACATCTGCCAATGTGGTATACTGCATCCGCTGTGGCTTCCTCTACATCGGGGAAACCAAGCGGAGGCTCGGGGACCACTTTGCAGAACACCTACGTTCGGTTCGCAATAAACAACT